ACGAGGGTTCGAGAGTACTCGGTACCTGACTGGCGGTGTCGAGGAGGACGAGGATGACTGGGTGAAGAGGGTACTCAGGTACCGTAGCAGTGGAGAATGAGATGGTTGAAAAAGGGACCCGATGCATGGTTTAAGGCTCGCCGACTCGAGTGAGAAAAGCCGCAGCAGCAGTATCCGTAGCAGAGAAAGCAGAAGTAGAAGCACAAGCAGCAGCTCATGCCATGCCATGCCAGACGGGTACGGATAGGCATGGCATGGCATCGAGCTTTGCCCGCCCGCCGTCGCCGCCGCCAGGCCCCCGGCTTGGACGTGGGTGTGTGTATTTGGGATGTGGACGTGGGTGTAGATTTGTCCATGTGGATATGGACAGACGGGGAGGGAAGGGGACTGCAGGGTAGGGGATGGATCCGTAGGGTAGGGTAGGGGGAGGGGTGGGTAAGGTGGTCTGGGAGAGCAGCACCAGCAGCAGTTCCTGGCATCAACAAGTCAGTCGGGGCACGCGCGAACGTGGGTGGGCAGCTAATACCAGCTGTTGCTCTTGTCGCGGGATGCTGTTGCTGTTGATGCTGCTGCTCTGCTGAGCCACATGCATCTGTGCGTGTAAATGTGGTATGGGTGTGGATATTTCCGTCCACCACGTCCAGTCTTCTTCCCAAGCACTACCAAGTTCCCACGGTGGTACCCTCCTACTCCTCCTCTTCCAGTGTCCACCCTGTGTGTTCGAGAAGAAGACCTGGGCTGAGCCTGGGGGATCGCTCAAAGCGAGGTGACAGATGAACCGGACGATGGTAGCAGCTATATCACCAAAGCCCATGGCCTTAAGATTTTCGGCTGAATGGCTAATGCCGTGCTGCTATTGACTGTCCTGGAACCTATAACCTACCCAACACCATTCCGTCATTTCCAGCCCAGCATGGCATAGCGCGAGCGAGAGAAAGAGAGAGAGTACATAGTATGTGTGTGTGTGTGAGTGTGTGTGTGTGTGAGTGAGAGAGATACCTGACCCTTGGCCCGTGTTGGTAAAGGCAACAAAAAGAGAGAGATCCTAGATTGAGATGACAGATTTCTTGCAGCGGCGTGCCAGCTGAGCAGAGTTGAGCAGCCCATGGTGAAACGGGGTCACCTTGTCTGTGAAGGCCTGAATAGGCAGGCTGATGTCGACACCTGAATCAGTACAGAACCAGGTGGGCGGTTTTGGAGCAATGGAGAGGAGGGAATGAGACAGGGTCGAACGGGGGCTCTCCCTTTTCCCGCGCCTGTTCCCATTTTCCAGTAATTTTTTCTGGCCCTTGGCTTGGTGCGGCCGCAGAGAGATCAAAAAAAGAACCTGAACCTGAACCCAGAGCTGGGTTCATGAAAAAAGCTCAGGTACCAGACAGGCACAAGCGCGAGGCACAGGCACAGGCACCGAAAGGCGCGGCCGAAGGTTTGACTGCTTGGCCCCAAAAATAATGATACTATGGATCTCGCATCGAGGCGAAGGGGGATCACAAACCACCTCAAGGTTCCCTGTGTACTTACAAGTTACGGATACACGCGATATTGCACAGGGACAGATGGTCCTCCTCCTCCGAGGCTCCGACATCATACCTACATGCCTCTCTCTCGAGCAAGCCCTTGACACACATTATTACTGCGTACTTACGCAACACGGCAGAGAGAAAGAATCGAAAAGACGGCTCGGGAAAAGTAAGAAAAAAAAAAAAGAAATCAAGTAGCGAAAGAGGCATCTCGGCTGGGATATCTGCATGACGCTCATTGGACCCTCTGTGACATTAGCTCTGTGTCGACTCCACGGATGAACGCATGACCGTTGTCGAGAAGCCCGGCCGAGGCCACGGCCAATGGAAAAGATCATCGATCAAGGGGGAGCCGGAGGAAGTGGATGAGCCGATGAGGAGGGTGGTGGTGGGTGGGTGTGTGTGGTCACTGCTGGAGCTCTCTGGCTTTCTCTCACAGTTCACTTTCTCTCTCTCTGCTCGCTTTCTGGTCTCCATCCCACTGCGGACACCAAAAAAAGGGCCTGAGGAAAGGTTGCTGCGGGGGAGGGCGTCCCAAAGGGAAGCGGGACGGAGTGGAGGATGAGCCCTAGGTGTGCGCCTATTGAGTTGGCCGGCCGCGAAGAAAAAGAAGGGTACGGAAATCTGGTGGGGAGTGAGAGCGAGCGAGAACAAGGATCGCGGTAGTGTGCTAGTGTAGTTGCAGGGGGCCGGACGAGAAAGAGACTCAGAGAGACAGCGAGTGCTTTCGCGAGATACGGCGCAGTAACGAGCAAGAAGCGGTATAGACTCTTGGAAGATTGGCGCTCGTCTGTGTGTTGACTGACGGCGGCAACTTAGTTGATGACTGGCCGGCCGAGTGGAACATCTTGTCTCTCACTCTGTCAATGTCTCTTCACGGACACCCTCGATCATCAATATCCTCCTCGACGGGGAGACGACTGGGTAATGGGTCGAGGACTGGAGCAAGAGGCGGCCGGCCAGAGAGGAGAACCGAACAGAGGCAAGGCAGGGGACGGTAACGGGTAACGGGTACGGACACAGAAGCGATGGGCATGGTGATGGGTTGATGGGCGACGGATGACTCCCGACCCCGGCAGACTGCCTTTGGCGAGGCAAGGGGATGGACGGACAATGAGCAGATCCTCCAAGAAAGTAGATCTTCGTCGTCTTGGTTCAAGACCTCTTTCTTTTCGCCGCCGCCGCTGCCCAGTCTTACATCAAGCAGCGAACTGTGGAAGACACACCGTGGTAAGGGTACACACAGACATTTTCAACGGATACAGGCACACGTAGATACGCACACACAAACCTTAACTACCCGCAACGCACAGCGTCCCTCGAGGCAGAATCAAGGAGGCACACACAGAGAGAGAAAGAGGGAGGGCAAAGGGGGGGGAAGAGAGACGGGGAACCTGTCCGCTTCCGAGGCGGAATTGGGCGAGAAAACGGCGGCGTGTCAGCCATGTGGGATTTTTCTTTTTTGATTTCGGAGGTGAACCAAAATATTCCCAAATCTGGACCGAATCTGGGGCCGCGCTTGCTGTACAGCCATGTTTTAGAAGAGGGCAGAAACAGTGAACGCGCATGTCTTTTGGCCCTGCACGTTGCGTACAGAGAACATAACGCCGTAACGCACGCAAGTTATTTCTCCTTACACTAAGCTATCTTCGTGGCTCTTGGGTATGGGATGAGCGGAAAGCCAAACCTCCCCACCGTAGTGAGAAAAGCATGTTCACAGACTCCAGAGTGCTCTCTCGCTCTCCCCCCGTGCCAGGGCCCAGGGGAGGTGAGAAGCGGTTTCTCGAAGGCCGCAGTCCCTCAATTCCAGTTTCCACGTTCTCCACCCCAAGAACAGACAGGCGAGAGAGACTGAGAGCGAGCCCGTCTGCCAGAAGCTGTCGCCGGGTACGGATACTTTGGGCTGCGGTCCACTTCCAATCTTGTGTACATCGGTCCCTTGACCAAGTCGCCCTGTTTGCCGTGTTGCAGGAAACTTAGTGGTCTCGAGCCAGAGCAAAAGTGGATTACAACGTAGCGGTAGCGGCCTTCTAGTGCTCGCGTAGAACAACGAAAACGAGCTTCCAAGTGTTCCAACGAAGGCGCCGTCTGTGTGATTAATGTGTCTGATCTGGCGTGATGAGGCGGCGTGATTTAAGCTCACGGTTTGGCGCGGCGCACTACCGCTATCGAAAGATTTTAAGATGGGAAAAGAGAGATAGAGCTAACTAAGCTAACCAGCCAACGGGCAAACGCAAACTGAGGTTATTACTCCAAGTCGCCTTGGGTGACGTGCTGGAGCCAAACCCTCCCCCCGGAATGATCGAACGAGTTTGGCGGCGGACAAGAAGGCGGTCAGATTAGTCTACGGCGTGTGTGTAATATGCCAAATGTACGTGACCGAACGGAAAAGCTGGTTAATTAGTTTTCCTGTAGCTTCTCTTCTGACAGCACGGCACTTGGGATATTGAAGTCTCCGGGGAGGGAGGGGGGTGCCTGACCTGGCGCTGCGGGCCTTGTCCGGCACGTCCGCGAGATTCCAATCTCCACGTGCATTTTGATTCGATCGGACCAAGAGAGACATGAAGAAGAAAGCAACAAGAGAGAGAGAGAGAGAGAGAGAGAGAGAGAAGCTGTGTTTGAGAATCGGACACTAGGCTAGCTTAGCTTAGCTGTTGTCGAAAAAAGTCCCGATCATTTCCAATCTATGCCAGGCTGAAGAGGTGCCACGCTCGTCAATGCCGTGATGGACGTGGGGAGAGGTTGCGAACGACGGGCGTCAGGGCCGCTTACATGGGCCACCCGGTCCCCAGGAACGACGGGAAGCTCTTCTCCAGCTTGTGTGTTCGAGCAATTTTATGAGGTACTTCGTTTTACTATGTTGAATGTGTGTTGCAGTGAGGTATATGCCGAGAGTTTTGGAAAGTACAGAGTACTCTTTGGTGTGATCTTGTGAACGTGTGTGTGCGCGCGTGTATGTGCGTGTTGTTCCATCAGGGAATTCCGAATAGAGGCACCACATTCGACGAGAGCTATACTTCGTACCGGGGTACCAAGCAAGGGTAGCATGAGAAGCGAAAAGCTAAGAAAAGAGCGGTAGCGTTGCAGCGAGCGATGCGATGCGTCGATGTGGTGGTGCCGCACTGGTGCTGGGTAAGGTCAGGTCAGGTTGGAAAGCTGCCCGAACGAGCCGTAGGCTGAAAGGGCTCATCCTCCTCCGAGCTTTTTTCCTTTTCGTCTTACCTCTTGGTAGTCTTGGAGGAGTAGTCTTGGGAGAGGGCAATGGTGCGCGCGATGCTTCCCGCCCATTTCGTGGTGGGGTCACGGTGTAACCTCTTCCTCACTCCATCCATCCATACATGATCCAAAGCTGCTGCTTGCTTGCCTGCCTGCCATGGATGATGGCACTTGTATCTGCGGTGTGGTGTCTCGGTACCTGAATTCGCTGGGCCCTTCCTCTGCCATCTGGTCTACACTACCGTCCGAGTGAGTGCCTGAGTGCTCTCACACACGCATTCGCCTCGGGAACGATTTCCATATTCCCAACAAGCTACGGAGTACCGAGCCTGCCGATCATCTCAAAAAAAAAAGTTGAGCCGTGTCTGTCTGATCCTGTCCTGTCCTGTCCTGTTTCTATCCGTACACACAGACAGTCAAGAGAGACAAGTTCATGCAAGGACCAATCACTCGTGTGCCGAAAAGTTTTGTAATTACCCTCAGAACAGGAGGAAAGGGATACGGGGTACGGGTAAACAAGAAGCAGTCAACCACTGCAACTCTTCTTGTGGCTCTTCTGCTTTACTACGCTTCGGGTGACAATGACGGCATATGCGTGGTTCATCTATCCGTACCCCCTAAACCGAACGTCACTCGCACTCTCTTACTCTCTCCCCGCAAGATTCAGAAATTAAGAAGCCGTCGAGTTATGCTCTTCTCTTCAAGTTTGCATACCGTGCCCCTCCACTTCCCCCCTTGCATCGTGAGCGGGGGAGACAGAGAGAGAAGTGAGAATGGGGAGAACGGAGCTCGGAACACACACACAAACACACACACCCCCAAACACAAGGAGGCTGACCGACCGAGCCTAGAACGATAGGATATGGTAACGAGCAGTGAAGATCTCTCAGTTCTCCAGGAACCAACGAACCAGAAACGTTCCTTCATCGGAGGGAAATCCATCACACTCACACACACAGGCAAGCATACATGCACACATACATACATACATACATGCCTACATACAAGTCATACGCACATTACATAGGCGCCGTCGCCGTCGGGGTTTTTACTCACTTCTCGCCAGCAGCGACAATCGTCCACTTGACCTTCAATAAGGGGGCGTGGGACTAATACACAACACCAACGACAACACTCCACGATCCTCCTTCCGCTGAATGCACTGCACTGCACCTCGCTCCTCATGCGCTGAAGCTGCGTTGCGTTGCGTGCAGCACACACTGCAGACAAGACAACAGCTACCTGCTGCTGCTAAATGTCCGTGCTCAGATTTGGCCGTAGAAGGCTTCCAATCTGGCATCCTCTGGCCAGGGTGAGAGCGGAGGGGAAGGGCATACGAACCGTGGTTTCATCCTATACCGGGGTACGCTTGCGGACCGGGGTCAGTCGTTGGTCGTTCACATCAGCGTTGGGCTGGGTGCGGGAAGAGACTCGAAGAGCAAGCAAATCGACGCAACATCAGAAAAAAGGGATCTTCCTCGTCATCCGTACAGGGGGCGGCGGCGGCGGCGACGACGACGGGCGGGTGATCGTAGGCCCCTCATCAGGTCAGGCCTGCCAGAGTGACAGAGCAGCCAGCCGTCATCTCCCTCTTCCTCTTCCCCCGCGGAGCGATGCGAGCGCGTGAAGCAGGGGTTTGGGGGGGAGTGATGTACCTTACATGCTGGTGATGCGGATGGGGAATTAGGGGATCCCACTTTCGCATCATCGCATCCGCTTCGTTTCGCTCCTTCGCGGCCGCCTTGCGTGATGACTGTGATGCAGGAATCGGTCCGTGGCTGATGATGGGTAAAAGACACACGCACAGAGAGAGAGACATCACGAGACGAGACGAGACTGTACTCGGAGTGAAAAAGCGAGGGGGACTAACGGCCCAGCTACACGCTAGTGTACCGTTTGATGCTTCTCACGTCACCAGAGTCTACAGTCGTTATACTGCGTGCGGAAAAATGCCTAGCCCATCTATCCCGTACCATACGTGTAGAACATCTGTAAGGATGGACCCCCAAAGTCAAAATGACAAGATCCGGACTCGGCGGCGCGGCGTTGTCGGGAATGTCAGGGGCCTGGCAATGCCAAACTCTCTGCCGCTCGGGGATGTCCTCGGTCGCAGGAACCTCAGACCGAGGGAAGCCTGCTGCCATCTGATGTTCAGATATTCGAAAATCCAAAACGGTGAGATGAACGAATAACAGGAATGGTCTTGCTTTGCAAAGAGTTACCGCCCGTCCAAAGTGACATCCAGCATGACCAATTGACCAGCTTCTCACAACAGAAACCGAGTGAGATAGCGAAAGAAAAACAAATGGGGCACAATGGCCACAGACGTAACACCAAAAGACATGTCGGTTGTCACTCTGTTGCTTTTTTGTCGGTGTGTTTTCTTCTTGGAAATCTCATGATGGACCGGTCCTTTCACTTCCCTCCTCTCAAGTCTTTGACTCTCGAACGCGTCGCCTCGTCTCGCCTCACCTTGCCCTTGCCTTGGCTAAGGCTTGCCCCGGCCCCGGTGCCCTTTGCTCTCGTCATCGGGACAGCAAACCGACAGCAACCCAACCCATGGGGCCAAACGCAAGTGAGCAATGCTGCGTGTGGGTTGGGCCAACCCACGGGTGTGTGGATCGTGTCGTGCGGTCGCCGGGTCCTGTCCAATTTCGTCGCGCAGAAGAGTGGGAATCCATCTCCGCGACGGCCGTCCGTGTGCGGCGTGCCCTGTCATACAGGAACGCCACCCGTGGACTTCTTTCCGGCACTGCTGCATGCATTTCAGGAGAAGAGACGACAAGGCCATTTGACAGGAGCAATCGTGGTGGACTTTGATGTGCATGCCGTTTCCCAAACTCTGCTCGAAATGTTGTTCCGACCGGGTTGGGGAATGGTGCCATGCCTGTGTTGATCCCAAAGAACAGCTCCAAGATGAGAGGAACGGGTGATGGGCGTCAGGTATCAGGCTCATCAAGGTCCATCAGGCCCATCCATGAGACGCAGGAGCATTCGCGGACGCCACATCCGTCAATGCATGTTACTGCTTGTTGCTTTCCCTGCTTTGCTCGCGAGCCTCGCCCTAGAGGCTGACTGTTTGTTGGTTGGGACGGCGGGCTGGCTGGCTTACGCTGCGTCTGTGTTCGTACTTCTTAGTCTGTACGATAATACTGAGAGTCCGTATGAATTACTCCGTCGCATAGGTAGCGTACAGCTTTCCGAGGAAGCCAAGGCATGAGAGACAGAGGCAAGACATACCACCACAGCACCACCATCGACCGGGACAGGGTGACTTGCTTCAAGATCGGGCTGCCGTTGATGTTGATCGCAGGCAAGTCCGAAGAGAGACTCGCTCGGTACACAACTGAGTAAGTCTGCAAGCCACTCGCCAGCCGTTGCAACAGCTGTTCACGGGCTACCCGAAGTCTCGTTGTTCAAGTCCAAGGTACCTGAGTCGAACCGGAGGACAACTGGGCGTGTTCGGTGTGGCAGGGAGCGGGTGGGAAAGACAGAAGGGCGCCAAATCTACCGGCGCCCCGTCGGGCCATCAACTTGACACAAGAGCCTGTCAGGGAATACCTGGTTCTGCTTCCCAGAGATCTCTGAATCGCCAGCCAGACGCGCTAGGGAGATCCAAGAGGTTCCGACAGCGCGGCAACCGTGGGGCCATGGCTCAGCGAGCACTTCGTCCAAACTTGCCGTTCCACGCACCCCTGCAGACGCGCGCGCGCAAGAATCTCTTCGTTACAACTTGCCCATTCGACAGCAACCCCGGCATGCGTGTGGCTACCAGTACGCTAACTGGCGTACCTGCGTGTTGCCCATCACCTTCACCCTCCAAGAGTCTTGGCAAATCTCCAATCCACCTTGATCCAGCGAGGCGGGACTTTTGGCGTGTCTCAGTTGCCATGCCTTGGGATTGCAGGTGCATGCTGATTGCAGTCCGCGTCAGTCAGGGACTGTCGATAATCTCGTTCGAGTCTCGAGTCTCGGCTCATCTATCGTTGTCGTTGGACCTGCCAACCTGACCTGTCTGACAAACAGTGGATGCAGCCGGTACTCGAAGCCGGCATCAAACTGCAGAATGATCCTAGGATGCCCAATGCGCTAGCAAGGAGTGACGACGCCTTGGAGCAAGGTGAGAGGAGGGATAGAAAGCAGAAAAGCTGGTGTCTAGAAGTTGGTGTGCGCAGATGCAAGATTGATTCTGATTGCCTCCTCGACAACGGGGAAATTGGAGAACGGCAGTTCAGTACAGTCGGTTGGTTCGTACGTACGCCCGTACGAGATGACATTGGCAGAACCAACGCAACGCAACGCAACTCTTGTCCAACCCGCGATCTGCAAAACAAGGAGTTTGTGCGTGTGTTTGTGTGATCTGTACGCAGACATGGATACTGCATTTGCAGGCCTGGGACAACTTGCTTATTTCCCCTTTGCTTTCCCGGCTTCTACATCCCGCCACCTCGTCCAAACACATAAGCAGTGCTGCAGTTACGAATTTAGGGCGTGTAAAAGCCAAAGGGGGCTACACGGTAGACCGAGAGCAGCCACACTCCGGGATGCGGCTGCTGCGGCTGCGGCTGTGGCCACTCGAGTCACGGTGCAGACGCTGGCCGCCGCCCGACAAACAGCGATTACCCGGTGATGACTTCAAAGCCGTCGTCGGATCTGTTTGTATAACGTGAAATGTCTTTCAAGAGTCTTGGGAGGATCGAAACCTCAGCCTGCATTGCCTGCTTACAGTCACTCTATTCGATGCGTACAAGCAGAAAATAGCATCAGATCCACCGTCACCCGCCTTTCGGAGAGCAATCGTTGGTCTGTGTCAAGTCGACGGAGAGCCGCAGCCACGAGCAGGTAGCCGCGTCGGCGGCGGAAATAGATGCAGTTTCGGGGAGCGGCCATGTGAACACGCCTGTGCCGCCAGAGACAGCACCGGGGGGCCGGTGACCAGGGCCGGGCATGGGCGCATCTGAGGCTCTTCAAGCAAAGGCCGAATGTGGTGGGTGCGGATGGTTTGGTGTTGTATCGCGTCTAGAATTCGAGACAGGTGCGCACGAGTGCGGCGGCGCTTCTGTCGATGCCAAGTGACATGCAGTACGGGCGAAGAACATGGGCTGAAGAGGACATGGCATGGATCGCGATCCGCGCCGTTGAAGCCAACGTAGGTTTCTCTTCCCGACTCTGGTCGTCGGTGACCGGTCCGCTGAGCCCATTCTCGTCACCCTCGGCACTGTGGACCTCGGGCGGCTATGAATAGGACTCGAGGGTTGCAGCCGTAACGGACTCGCCTTTACCTGCCATTCGAAGTCAAGGCCCTCGGTTCCAGTGCCCTCAGAAGTCTCAGAATCTTCCAATCACCCCAGAGTCATGTGTCTCCACGGTGATTAGAAGCCAAGTCAAGTGGAGCTGAAGTTACAACTTTTCATCACCGAGGCTGCTAAGCTGCTAGCATCACTGTTGCGCAAGCCTTTGCATGTCTAGAAGTTGCAGGATTCGACCATGTGCGACTGCATTTGTGCCCGCGCCCGACCGCGCACAATACGCGTGGCTGTGGTCTTCGCCACTGCGATGGACTTGCATTGCGGCGATGGGAGAAGCTCGGTCTGAATTGTGGGCGGCCTTGGTGCGCATCTGACCAACGAGGACTCGAGATATTCGGTCAAGATTAGAGGCAAGCAGGCTTGAAAGCCGTTGGACAGGGAGGTCCCGGGATGCGTCGTCTTCTCAAGGTCGGCGAGCGCTAGCGGCCGTGCGATGACAGAGTTTCCCGGCCTTGAGCAAAAAGCACCAAATTGCCACTTTGTGCGACGAGGCCATGTCAATTCCAGGTGACAGACGGGTGGCCGATTGCTCGGCATGGCTTGTCACACCAGCGACGGGACGAGCAGGTCAAGCGGGTTGGTTGGTGCGGCTGCAGTGCGAGCAGGGCTTCCCTCGACAAGCCTTTCGAGTGCCGGTCCTGAATCCCCAACTTTTCCAAGACGAGGGAAGTGAAAGGGGGCAGGGGGGCGAGATTTTTCGTTGAATCGCTGCTTGGCACCCTGAATGCCACCAACGGTGTCTGGCGTCCGTGAACTTTGAAGTCTTCAACAACAAGTTTCATGGTAGATGAGGGCGATGGATACCGTCCAAGACAAAGGTACCACCTTGCACTGGCTCAAGCGTGAGACCATGACTTGGAACGGAACCGTTGATGTGCGTGCACTTGTGGAGACGATGAAGCCGAAGACGAGATGAAAGCTCAAGGACCTGACGACAAGTTGGCAAACGGGCATCGCTGCTGGTCCATGGCTGCCAAGACGTGCCCGGGTTTTGCAGTTGCGGTGTGTGCGGATATCGTTGTCTGCCAGTGCCAGCTTCCAGGATCCCAGGAAGACTTCTGAGCAGTGGAAGATTTGGCACGGGGGGTTCTTGTGGGCAGCGACCAAACCAAATGAGGCAATTCCAAAAAAGGCCCCTGCTGCATCATGGTGCGGATATCTCGCAAGCAGACGACACTGACAAGCTTGTAATCAAAGGCTTGCCTGGCATGCTGATACTGAAGCAGCAAAAAGGGGTGGATTCCCTTGGAAGAAGATTCTGTCGTGCATGGCGGTATCGGCCACGATAATTCAAGGTCATGGATGATGATGGTCCCATCGCGGGACTGTGTCAAGCTAATGAGTTTGCGAATTTGTCCGTAGTCCGCGTTGGTCCGTATGATCCCTAGCTTCATGGAGGCTCTCGATGCGTATCCGTGATTCCGTCCACTAGAAGCCGAAGTGAAGACCGGGGCCATGCCGCCCGCCATGGGATGGATCATGGAAGAATATGATCTGGCTATGGACTGCGGTGGGCACGGCACGGCGGGACATGACGCGAGGCACCTGGTAGACGTCTGCCGATGCTTCAGATGCGCGGGATCCGGAGATGGTGCGATCTAGAAATCAAATCAAAGGACTCAAGGGCCGAGGCCCGGGGGGACTGGTATCTTGTAAGAGCCTCCGCTCGGCAGGGCCATCGTCTTACCACTGACGTACCATTCTGTCCTCTTTCTCTCTGGGCATCTGTCCCTTTCGGTGCGTGTGTGCCTCTTTTCGAGTCTTGGTCCTTGACCTCGTTGCAACTTTGTCCGCCCACCTCTCCGGAAGGAACCAGAGTGGTATTCGGTCGTCAGCGGGCCTGCTCCGTTTCGATGGTCGTCCGCGACAGGGACTCTCAACCGCTCTGAGGTCCTCACTCGGTCTCTCCCCCGGCACCGTTGCAACGCCGTGGGCACTTTTGGGTACCAGTGCCGAGCTTTGGTGCGTTGTTCGCATACCTACATTGGATTGGGTTTAGGCAGTTTTGGGCGTGAGGTGTGGAGGGTCCAAGGTTCATAGGTACTGCGTATTCATTTATGCGTAAAGAATGACGGGTTCCCTATTTCTCAAGTGGATCGTATTCCTTTATCCACATTAACCACTACATCCCAAAAAGAGCCAGGAAAGAGCGGGGCCCATGCCACTTTCCAGGCACTGCCAGGGGAGCCCAGGCTGAAGGTGCCGATCGGACGATATTAGGTAAGGTGGCATCCGAACGGTGAGAAGGTACTCAGGTACGTATCCCATGCCATCCCAGGCCACCGGTCCAGTCGGGACGTTCCCCCTTCACAGACTTCACTGAACCCTTCCAGCTCCTCGGACACGGATATACGAGTCGCCCCGACCAACGAGCCTTACCCTGGTCGAGCGGTCAACGAATTGCTCTTCCAACCTGGAAACTTCGATGTACGGAGTATGGATACAGTACCTTGCCTGTAGAGGAACCCTCTGCGAACACTGCCACCATCGATCACGACGACGGTCAACCTTGACGGCCTCTGCAGCAGCCTCTGCCTTACTGTTATTGTTTTTCATCAAATTGCCTACCCTTACCATACCGCCGAATACCCGCCCACTAAGGCAATCTGACTTTTGAAATGAATTGCATCGGCCGGTCTCATCTATTCGCCCGCCGCCAACCGTCTATCTACACTATGGAGCACCTAACCTTAGTATCCGACGAGCGGGAGGCCAAAAAGTCCCTGCGCCTGAGCCTTGTGAGACGTCGCAACAAGCTTGCTTTACCTCACCGCGCTCCGTGTCACTGAACGTTATTTTACGATCCGTGGCTCTGGATCCAGTTTGTGGGCGTGGGAACAGACACTCATTTCGAGTTCGCATTCCTCGGTCTCAGCTCTGAGTTTGGAGCTCTGAGCTCGCCAGTGAACCAGTGAATCAGAACAACAAACAGCCTTGTCGCCAAGCCCCAGGTTCTACTGTTCTGCAACGTGGCTCGGGGTGGCTTTGGAGTCTAGTCGTCGTGACATTGACGGTGAGAGCGACGGCTTCGGAGTGGACGAAGCTCGATAGCTCGACTTTGCGCTCATCTCATTTCGTTTCGTCTCGTACCGTCCCACTCTCCGATATCCCCGCCGGCTGTTCCTAATGACTTGTCGTCAAATCCCATATCCGCAGAGTCCCAGCATGAGGAACCCGAACGACAACGACTCAGTGCTCACGTCGTCTTCTACGCGGGCGGCGGAGTGCATGGGGAAGAATCTCGAAATGCGACAACTACGAGCGGGAACCCGATATCTGGGCATTCCAGCAACTCCGGGCTAGACTCGTGCGAATGCGATGCGGGTCTCGTCAGATGCACGAAGTACACTAGGAACGGTGCTTGTTGCGTTTGTCAAACTCCTATCATCGGCTGTGATCATTTACTGATGAGGCATGGTGCTAAACCTTCTTCACGACGATTCTAATGCGCGGCGATTCAGGTGCTGGTCGTCTGACGAGACAAGGCGGAGAAGGCGTGAGTTTGCAACAACCCTTGACAGCGTGGGCAGATGAGCCTCTCTGCCCTGACTCTGGGACTTTGGAGACACCGACACGGACGCCAAGGTGGTGGCCCTGGGTGTATGGGTATGGGTTGATGAGAAGTTGAAAGTGAAATACATAGACCTCGCTAGGCTCATCGCGCTCTCCACCATCTTTCACTCCACCAAGCAGTAAGTGGGTGGATATGGATTGAAGTCTTGAGTCGACGTCGACGACGGGAGGTCGCAGCGCGGTGGAGAGATAGCTGCCCCCCGGTTGTTGTGCGGATGGGAATGGGTGCGGATACTTGCTTGCAGCAACTCACGGACGCGGTGCTAGTGCACGTCGGCCTGGACTGCGACAGTGTCATCAGAGATAGGCGGCATCCGTAATGACTGCAAGAGGATCCCGTTGCGGCGTCCACTGTTCCAGCGTCCCGATTCCCAGTATCGAGGGTGAGGTGAGCACTAGGGGCCCTGAAATCTGGATTCCTGTGATTTCCCGCCCGGGTGAGAGAAGGTATCGTGGGTACGATGACGGAAGCCGGACTGTATTATTTGTAGGGAATGTCACATAAGACGCAGTAAGTCGAGGTTGAGGTGCGGTCTGGACATTTCCTTTCTTTTTGCGGGTACCTATCGTGGGATTGGACCATCATTATCCAAGGAGGGTAGAAGGGCAAAGAAAGGCTTGTCATTAATGGTCATGGCATGGCATGGCATGGCTTGGCCTAGGCCGCGGCACAAGATTTGAAGCTGCCGGCCGCCGGTATTTGCTTCGACTCCACCACTCGGGTTTTCCACCACTGCCGGATCCTTTTTGCTTCCTTTTTCTTCATGTTACGGATCCCCTCTGTTTTTCTTTCCTTCTGCCCATTACCCCCCGTTTCCCCTTTGTCTTGGCATTCTTCCTCCGCATGGCGCGGCTGGCTACCGTGTGTGTGACCAGTGACCATTGGACGGGTAACAATTCTACCTGCTGAATTGAGTTTCCCCTCGATTTTTTTATTGCTTCTTGGGTGTCGTCTGTGAGGCAACGCTCCTTGCAGTCGTAAAGCGAAATGGAAATTCCCACCGCAGTCAAACCGCCTCCCAGTGTGCTCACAGTCCCAATCCCCCACTTTCCCCCATTCTTTTTTCCCCGAAGAAGAACCTAGACGGGGATAGGAGAAGGAAACAGCACGGGGAATTTCAGAGACGATGCTCCGAGAGAGGAGCCTCCGAAATGAGAGAAGGGGAATGGAACTCGCGAAGGAGAAAAAAAGCAACAGACAACAACAAAGTCTACAACTCAGTAAACTCAAGTCACCAACAAAAAAAAAAAGAAGAAAAAAAAAAGAGGCCGGCCTTGACGGGCCTTACTCCGCCGAAGCTTGCCCATGCCCACTCGATGTCCACGCCCAATTTTAGTGTCAATCCCTGGTCCCCAGGTTCTGGCGGCGGCCCTGCCCTGTCTTTGCCCTGGGTGTGCCGTATAGCTATAAGAGCCTCTGACAAGTTCACCCCCGGGACTGCCGTGACTTACTGTATACCCTAGCAGACTATGGTTGCAGTGAAGGCAGCTTTCTCGCTGTAGTGTGGCCCTGTGCCTGGTGCCTTGCACGCAACGGGGAAGGTTGCTGTCACTCGAGTAAGGTAAGGGTGGGGGGAGATTGGTTAGGTTGTTCGGGAAGCCTTGGAGAACCGAGAGAGAGAGAGAGTATTCAATAGTTGAGCTGAGTTAAGAAGAGTCCCCAGCTAGGATAGACAACGAGCTGGGAAGTCATTGGGGGAAATGGAACCAACCTCAACTCTCCATCAGCCCAGCTTTCGGCAAAGGCGCGTTAGGGTCGGTCTTAGCACATCTTAAAACCCCATTTATGAGTCGCAATCGCCAGGCATCATCTGGGCGGGCCAAGGCGAATCCTGACATGGGGGAAAGTTACACTACCTAGTGTCATTCGCTTCTGTCTAGACTCTAGAGTCGCCTTACTGCGTGAGTTCACTGTGAGGAGGGACGCAAGGCCAAGCCGTAAGGTAAGGTAGGCATAACACGGGTGATGCTATTGATGTCGACACGCTACCTTATTCCGCCATTCATACGTGTCCGTAGTAAGGTACGTTACGCAGTACCTGGCACCCTACCTATGTACGAAGTAGGTACGGAGTACGGATATACCTTGGGCTTAACACACGATGCTAAGGTAAGCCGCGGTACCTTGCATGATTACCTCATCGTCCGTCTGACTGCACTTGATAGTATTAGGAAGTAATAACCAGTATCAATTGGTCCAATTGGTGACTTCCCATAGGTTGTGCTTGGCAGTTGGCTGCCTTCCCAACTGGGGTTGCTAAGGCTGACTTGAGACGACTAACGTCTGAAGACGACTGCCGTGCCTGTTTTACCACACCACACCCGATGGCACGACGGCATTCCCGCTCATCCCAAACTCCATACTCCATTCCACATCCGTCACTTCAATGCGAACCTCTTGCCATCATCAGTCCCATTTCGTGACTTTTCGTCCCATCATCCTGCCACATCCATCACGCACATCTTCCGTCTTGAGCCCACTACACCTCCATCCACGTTGCAACCGAACCCCAACTTGATATTCCTCCTCCCCGACTCCCCCCTCCCATGACCCATGGCCCATCTGTTCGAAATAGCATCATCGGAGGGCTAATTATACACACATTCTCTTTTTTGGCCCCATCTCAGCCCAGTGACAGCCCAGGCCAGTTCCAGCTCTCCTCTCTTCCCCGAACCTGCTCATGCTCATCCCCGCTATGCATGCCATGCTCGGTTCATCCATCGTATCGTGGACATGGCATACCGCATGGCATGGCATGGCCATCATCGAGATGACCACCATCGCCACGTGCCCTTGACTGGCCTCTTTACGCCAACTTTCAAGGCCCTGCCCTGCCCTGACCCCGTCTTCCTCCCCGTCCCGCCATCACGGAACCCGCGGCGAAAGCTATCTACTATAGCTCTCACCAAACTCGTCTGGTCTTCATCCTCGCCGCAAAACCTTACAATAGATCTTCTAGAACATGGTCAGCATGGGCAACCGCCGCTCTACCTTCTTGAATGCACTCTATCTCGCGAAACTGCTGGAGCTTGTTGCAAGTGCTTTGCCAGTGTTGGACAGCTTTGGTGATAGACAGGGTCTAGTTGGTCTGGGAATTGGCTCATTGTCCCTTGCGCGGCTCTCCAACAAGTCGACGAGAAATCCCTCCCGCTAGGATCAAGGATGGCAGTTCGTGTCAAGAAAGAAGACCTTGCCCGTGCCGCATCCGCGACGTCACCCGCAGACAAAGAATGAAAAAGCAGTTGGTAGGGGGTGCAGCTCTCATCAACCGCCTCTTGGCGACGTGATAGCAAACGACCTTGCTGACACCACACCACAACCTAGTCTAGCAACCAACGACAAATCACAGGTTTCTCCGGGTTGAGGAGGAGGGGCGCATGGGAGAACTTTCAAAACCTAGAACCCGAAGGTAGACAGAGGGAACTTCCGCACGACCTCGGTCTCGATTTCATTGTTCGCGAAGAGAAAAGGCTGTGCTGCGTGCGGAGTTTTGAAAATCATCTACATGCTGCCAAACAGCCTTCGCGTCACACATGGTTCGAATCCACCAACCGCTGGAGATTCCGTCGTTTCTCGCCATGTTTGACGATGGGTGGAATGGTCTACCACCCCTCTCTTCCCTTCTATGCTATGGCTGCTATCATTTGCGGCTCTCTATCTCGCTCTCGAATCCCTCCCTACGTAGTGTTGCAGACGTTACGCGTCTTCCCGTCCATCTGGAGCAAGCCCAGTTCTTTTGTTCTGCTCCCCCGCACCGCCGCGTTTCACATCGTGACCATTCCCGAAAAAGGAAGTCTTTCCAAGGTCCAACGAAGGGGAAGGGGGTCGGCTTGTTGCGCGTATGTGCACATGTGTGTGTATGTGTGTGTCTGCATGTTTGTAGAGACCGCCGCGGGAGACTCGGGGGTGGGTGACAAACGGCTTGCTCGTCATCGGGAGGGAGGCTCGTTCCAGGCGGGGAGGGGTATCAGCGATCGACGTTCGGCCGGTAAATCTCCCTTCAATGATGTTCGGATCTGATAGCATGGTGCAAGGAGGGAGAGGGGAGGGGAGGTGGGATTTGTGATCTCTGCCGTCGGAGACGGTCGGGCAGCGCATGATCCGGTCGTTCATTGTAGTAAACCGTAGCTCTAGCTTCTCATCGCCTGATCGGCCGCTCATTTGACGCTCGAAAGAAGGCATTATACCGAGGGAAAGGACTGCCAGACTCGTCCAATTACTTGAAGTTTTGCCGCGGCCCTTTGTCCTTGTCGTTGGTTGGTTTCTTGACACCTCCCACTCGGCATTGAGCTCTAGGACGGGCTCCCACCCAAGACGGGAGGAGAAGAATCTCTTCTTCCCGCACACCGGCGACGTCTTGTTCGGCTCGGACTACACATATCCCCCGGTGGCGGGCGGGCATTGGCCAACTACGCGTGCGTGTTCGGGGATGGGAGCCACAAGTCCTCGGAGGTCAGAGTGACCCACGCCGCTTCGTTTCGCCCTCCCGCTGTCCCGAGTGTCCGATATATTGGTCCCTCTTCTCTCGGGAAGCCTCTTTCAAACTGCACTGCCTTCTTCCATTCCGTTCACGGTTGCTTTATACGACCCCACACCGCGGCCTGGCTTCTTGGCCCGGCTTCAGAGGAGGGGGGGGGGAGGCAGGGTGGAGGCTGAGAAGGCGGGATGGGAATACGTGGATTCGTGTCGAGACAGGCACGTTCGAGTTTCCCACGTAAACAGGTTCGACGTCGTCATGCGTAGTTACAGAAACCACGTGGAACGGGGCTGGGCCAATCTGACCTTGGCTTCGGATTTTCCCCCCTCATGCCACCATCAGATGTCTCGACATCGTTTGGTGATGCCGGAGAAACTAGCATCATGTTTTCCCGTGGATTTTGTTTACCTCTTACCAAGATTTCCTGTCTCTGTGCCAGGCACGCACGGCACGCTGTAGATCATGAAACTCTCAATCCGATATATATATGGGGGCCAAGTGGCGAAGAAACGTTGCGGGCGTCTGTGAACTGCCGTCCCAAGTTACGTGTAGATCAGTTCTGGACCAGGCTTCGTTCGGATGACTTTTTTTTTTGGTCTTTGTTCCTGGGGGAAACTAGGCATGACCGGACGACATCATCATCGTATGTCATCTTAATCCTAAATCAAGAAGTGTAGAACGGATGATGTTGATAGTTTTTGGCCCATCTTGGAAGCCATGGAGGTCCTCATCCAAGCTTTTCAGAGTTTGGCAGGAATGTCGCCTTCTTGGTATTGCTTCATAACCCCTTATGTCATGTATTGGCTTCTCTACCTTGCGTGAATGTCATATATACAACAACTAAGTTTGCTGCTTCTCTGAAGCTCGGCCGGTGGGAGCATTGCTTTGCCGAGACTTACTGTCTGGTGATGAATGGCCAGCAATTGGAACCCATAGCAGTGTTCTTCTCACCATGGTTTACGCGACCAGATGTTGCAGGTTGATGAATAGCTTGAAGCTGGGACCTAAGCTTCAAGGAAACGCAAGAATCTCCATGCGTCTGTTAAATGTACATATGTCGTTCGTTCAACTCACCATTCTGAGAATACATCTCGTGCGAAGAAACATCCAGTTCCCTGCGCTACCCCTTTTCGAGCGTGGCAAATAGACGTTATCAACCCGCGGCTTGGTTTTCTTTTCACGTGCTGTAACTATGGCTGACCACTTACTCAAGATGTTTCCATGATTCCCACGTGTTTGATGTGTTTCTAAAACAAATGATGGTGGGCTATGGATGGTTCCAAGGCCTGACATCCCGTCCCGTCCTGAAGTCCAGCCTTGAGTACTCTGGGGGTAAGGAGTCGGGGGGAAACCTTAGCCCCTAATTGCACCTACTTTCGAAACTTGCCGCCCCTTGAGCTTGGAATTTGCTGCTGTAGTCGAAACTTGGCTTCCAATGAACGAGTTCAGAATGGACTCTGTCTATGTTTTGGGGGAAGCTGCTTGCAGCGAGTTGGACGCCCAAGCGTGTACACTCTTTCGTAGCTCGAAGGCATTTGGAAGAATTCAATCTGGTTTTCCAAAGATACTTGGATCTAATGGTAGTGTTATGTGCAGATGAAAGCAGCATGGGATCCTCTAGCAAATATGTCTGTGTCACACTTCTTCCGAGGTGATCATAGGCGCCCAGAAAGACTTCCCCTTTAGCGTATACTAGCATATACGTATCTCCTTGACTGAATTCTGCAACAAGATTCTTTAACTATACGGAGCTTTTGCTGAAAAAGGGCACCCCTTTAGACCGTTCAGCCGCATTACCAGCCGCATCTTGAATCGTGAATTCGTCAAGGTCAGGGCCGCCCAAGGTTTTTGGCCATACCTTTCGAACCTTCTGGCTCATGTCACGCCTAACTTGGCCCGTAACTCTGGCAAGTATGTCACTCATAAGTAGTACTTTATACTTTAGTCCTCATCATCATTTGAGAATGTACGAGGCTATGGGTTCGTTTTTCGCCATTATTTTGAGATGTTCAAGTCATCAAATGATATTAACGCATCCCATTTGAGTGCTTGTACGAGTACTTTGCTACCTGGGGCATATATACCCGTCATTCATCTCATCAGCTTTTGAGCGTGTTGGGTCGAACTAGAGGTATTCCCATGTGCATAGTTGTATGCCAGAGTGGGCTCGGAAGAGTCTGCTTCAAGTGAGAATACACACTTCACTTCATCAATGTAATCTGTGATTTAACGCACGTGGACATGCGTGAATTCAACGCCTTACTTCATGATGACAGAGGTCTTGTGCATTGCGATGCATCCAATTCTTGAGCTTACTACTGAGAACTATCTATCACTTTTCGTATTAGATGGTCCGACTTATTAGTAAAATTTGCTCATCATCAACTCCAACATCCCATCTCTGCTTTAGTAGTCGTAAAATCCCTTTCCGCTCTTCTTTCCCATCCAACCAGCATCAACCATCTTGCGCAGCAACACACTCGGCCGGTACTTTGAGTCACCAGTCTCCTCGTGAAGAACCTTCATAATAGCGAGGCAGGTGTCCAGGCCGATAAAGTCGGCAAGCTGCAGAGGGCCCATGGGAACATTGGTGCCGTTCTTCATGATGGCGTCGATTGACTCCTTGTCGCCGACGCCGGTCTCCAGGCAGATGATGGCTTCGTTGATGTACGGCATGAGGATACGGTTCGCGAGGAATCCGGGGGAGTCGGCGGATACAGAGGTAACCTTGCCCATGGCCTTGCAGAACGCGACGGCCTTGTCCAGCGTCTCCTGGCTGGTCTGCAGACCGCTGATGATCTCGACGCCCTTCTGGATCGGGACGGGGTTCATGAAGTGGGTTGAGACGACGCGGGAGCTCGCGGAGGTGTCTGTCGGGTCTTGGGTGGTGGAGGCGGCGATGCGGGTGATGGAGATGGATGAAGTGTTGGTGGCCAAGATGGCATGCTTCGGGCAAACCTCAGCCAGCTTGGAGAAGATGTCGAACTTAAGCTTAGGGATTTCAGGAACGGCCTCAATGACAAAGTCCACATCCGACAGCTCATCAATAGACGTGGCTGGAGACAACAGCGAGCGGGCCTTGTCGGCCTGTTCCTGTGTGATTCTGGACTTGGAAACATCCTTTGCAAGAAGCTTTTCTATTGAGGTGTCAGCGAACGGAACTCGTTACCAGTGTGTCGTTGAACACTCACCCGCAAATGCAAGACCCTTATCCAAAGCCGTCTTGTTTGCATCGACAAGTGTTACGGGAACTTGAGCTCTCTGAGCAGCCACAAGCGCGATGCCGAGTCCCTAGAT